ATTATGATGGGTGCACCGTATCATCTTGTACTATAGATAAGTCGATATACAATCAGCATTTAACGGTCTTACATGATTCTGAAATATTTCATCATATTTGAGAGCAACTATTGAAGATAAATGAAAGTGAACTGTAGGATAGCTTACCTTTTTTGAATGGAAACCTGTGAATCTCTTCTAATCTATTTTCACCTGGACAAACAGGAAATAACAAAAGATGGTGAAAGGGAGGTTAGGAAATAGATATCGAAATTGACCTTCCCGTTTTTTTCTTGTTCAGACCGGACGAATTTATAATTCATACTGACGGTCGACCTTGTAGAGGGCCGCGCATGAGCCTCTTCATTTATCTATAAAGGTGAAAAGAATATATATATTATAATTCTGATGAGTCGACCTACAGATAGGCAACACCTCTTGCAGTGATTTTACAACTATGTATTTGTTTTCAATAAAACCACCAAAACAACATACCGCGCGAAGTTGAGTTTTCAATTTAAAGTTATACAAATATACTTGCTTCATTGAGAAAAATGAAAAAATAGTTTATATAGAATATATTTTGCATTCTAAACAAATTCAAATATGAAAATAAGTCCCGAAATATTGTTATACCCGAAACTTTGTAATGAATTGGAATGTAGGATTTGTATCATCATCTCAACGAGAAAACCTTGGAAATGATAATTGTTCATAGATGATTTATTGATCTTTTAGAAGTATAAAACGATAAAAATGAGTTCACAAACGATATACATATAGATATAATTATAAAATGGACATTGACAGTTGGGGTTAGCAAAAATTGCACTTGGTAACTTAAATAAAGAAATGATTGTTTTCACCAATATACATTACCTAAAAAATAGAAGGCCGTAGACTTTTGAGGTTGGAGTAGGCATTGTAGTGTTTTAATTTAAAGAAGGTGTTGCTTGAGCGACCGCTGAATTTGTCTTGGTTGTCGATACTAAACAAAGTGGTATAATAAAAGGGGTATAGATAATTTATTGTATTGTATGACTCAACACAACGAAACAAAAGAAGTTATTATAATTGCAAATGATTTAAAATATGAAGAGGAAAGAGATATCATGGTAAATAAAAGGAAGCCGACAGAATGAGACACGACGTTTCGACAAAGTATCACGTGTCATCTTCTGGCGATTTCTGTTGAGTGTTCGGAAGTCGACCAACCTTACTAGATAAGCTCCCTACTATATAGTTAAAGTGATGTTTGTTACGTATTCGAAATCAGACTGTCTTTACACGATCTGCTTCCTACTATATAGTTTGTTGGTTTTTATTTGAGTTCTTCTTTTACTTGATTGACCTCATCTTACCGTAAAGGTTTGAAATGTTGAATCTAAGGTTTCCACGGATAGGAATATGCTGAACTGATTTCTGGGTTTTAATCCGTGTTCTGTGCTATTATCCTCAATAGGATTGATTTCACAACGTTTCGACAAAGTGTAATGTGTCATCTTCTGGCGATATATGTTGAGTGTTCGGAAGTCGCCGGCTTTACCTGATCAGCTCCCTACTATATAGGTAAAGTTTTCCAACACTTGCATGAATCCAATACTTCTCGGAGGTGCAGACAAAAAGCGACTTATGCTATCTCAAGAGCGGAATATCTCATGAATTTTCTTCTGAATCAAATTCTTGAACATCAGAAGCAGAAATTGCATCAGAAGAGGAAACAATCTCTTCCTGAACGGGCCAGCAAACGCTCATTCTCAAACAATGATTCACCGAAACCAGCAGCCAAAAAGCCCTGCCTAGTTGAATCCAATAAGTATATCGTCAGATATAGCTGATGTACAGATGTTTTTATATCCCGATATCAACAAATCAACTAGACTCTCTTCAGTATTGCGTTATAGTTGACGTAGAGTATATTTCAAAAGATGGTCCATAGATGCAATTTCAGAGCTGCAAATTCAGCTTTGGATGGCTACGTGTTGAATAGGAGAATCATGAGAGCGTCTCCTGGCTCATGGGTGTAATTAGAATTCCGCAACCATGCAGTCATGAAAGAGCTTCTTTATGAAGTGTGTCACAGGGAACCTACTTCACTAGCCACACATTTTTATTCTCACCTACCTGACGTAGATAGCCGCAGACTGATCTCCTATCAGGTTCTTATCAGATTGAGGAAAATAACCATGGTCTGTCAACTTCGAAGAGAATAATTTGTCGTAACGAAATTCAGCCACGTACTCTTTGCCTGTTGACCTGAAAAAATAGTCACCAATTCTATATAAGGACCTGAGAAATTATTTCTGTATAGTTTACAACATCTGGTAAACGACCAGATGGTATGTCTCTCATACCATGGAAATACGGTAAACCTGTGGTATGGGACTTTACTTGTGTTGATACTGTCGCGGCTTCCCATCTAGCCGAAAGTTCCAAGTCTGCTGGAACTGCAGCATTGTCTGGCGAGAAATTGAAAAGGAAAAAATACCAAAATCTTGGAAACAACTATCTGTTTCATCCAGTAGCGGTTGAAACTTTTGGTGTTTATTGCCCGGAGTCTCTGTTATTTGTTCATGAACTCGGAAGGAGAATAGGCCAAGCAACGAAAGATCACCGTTCTAGCTCTTTTTTGATAGAAAAAAATAGTATTGCTATTCAACGTGGCAATGCTGCTTCAGTACTTGGAACTATTCCTCCTTCACATAATTTTGATGAGATTATGCATTGCCCTAATTTCAGTACGGAACTGAAACCTCTTCGAAACAAGCCGAGATATGTAGATATTCATCAGTCTCCTATCAAGGTTAATTCACAAGTGATTGATCCACCTTCTTCTTTTTCAGTGCGGTCAGTGGACTCAGGTCATTCTTGCCCCCCAAAAATGAGTTGCAGTCCTCGTAGAACTGGTACCCTTTCAGTGGAAGAGCTTCTTGAAGCAAGAGCCGAATCGATCCCTCTACGAAACCCTTCTTCACTTGGAAGGATCGATCGCAGCTTGAGAAATGGTTCTTATGGAGATTCTGTGAAACATGTTCTTCCTTACGAATCAGTAGATAGTTGTCCTGAAAATCTAGAGACGAAAATTGGATTGGATTATTTAGGAAACACTTGCTACATGAATAGCATTTTACAAGTGTTGTTCATGACGAAGAATTTCAAGAACGAAGTTTTAATGATGAACGAGAACGTTCATCATTAAACATCATCAAACTCAAACAACTGTTCATACAGCTGCAGTTTCGTAAGAAGGTATCATCTTTCCCTCCAATCGATTTCCTGGAGTCTTTGAAGTCCACTAGATACTCGTTAGGACAACAATAGGATTGTTCCGAATTCTTGGGGTTCTTGTTGAATACTCTTCGTGAGCAAAACAATAGCAAAATCAATACTCCTGACCGCTCTGGACTGAATGATTCCTTACAACCCATCTCGTCTTGTGTTTGTAAATCTTTTGCTGGAAAAATCCTCACTTGTTTACTTTGTGGTAAATGTTCAAGAAGTACTGAAAACTTATGTGAATTTCTGGAACTTCATCTAGCTTTTCCTAATACGACTAATAACCAGTCCGTGCAAAGCTTATTGTTAAATCATCTGAAAATGGAATTTTTAACAGGTGATGATCGACTGTATTGTCAAACATGCGCCAAACTAACTTACTGATATAAGGAAACAAGTATAGGTGAGGCTCCAGTCAATCTAATAATAACACTGATGATTTTCAAACAAGACTCAACTTCTAACGGAAACAAGAAACTCTTTGGAAGGTTTGAAATAGATGAACATTTCAACCTAGCAGATCACTATTATAATATTCATGCAGTCATTGTTCACTGTGGTTCTGGCGTTGAATTTGGTCATTATTAGGCCTTGGTCAAAGACGAAACGGACTGGTTTAAGTTTGACGATAGTCGTGTCACAAAGTGTTCTGGCGATGCATTGAATTTATTGGAGCCTCTGGAGACACCCTACATTTTGTTTTATAAGAGAGAGGACATTGTTAGGTCAAGATCTTCAGATGATATGGTGCTGCAGGTTTTTCCGGGTTTTCCTGTAGCTGAAAAAGCAAATGCGCCACTGGAATCAATGAAGTCGCCCCGGAGCGCCAATTAATTTTTATTGTTGTTTTTATTTTATTTTCATCGTTGTTTCAATAAAAACTATACTATACTGTTTACAACCATAGAACAGAAATTGAATTTGTTTTTTGGATAAGCCGATACATACATGTAACATGTAATCTAATCTCAGCTTAGCTCAAGTCGAGTGGGACTGGAGTCGGAAACTGAGTTTCTTAAAATGATGTATTTAATTAAGATCACGTTATACCTTGATGGGTGAACAGCCTTGTCGTCATGTTATGCATATGCGGTATCCTTCGAAAAGTGGCATACCTGTCTCTTCCAATTCCGCAGACTCTATCTATCTGCTTGATTGGTTATTCCTATCTTAGGAGTTTTTAGAGGAGTGATGGATTCCCTACAGTGAAACACGGCTCAATTGGCTCAATTGAGGCATATGATTGAGGCATATAAGTTGTCCGGTCAAATTAGACTAAAAAATAAGAGTGAAGGTACACAAATTGACAACAAGCTGCAATTGCTTGTAATGGGTATGATTACGGGAAACTCAATCGGCAGAGTGCGCTGAGTGTCACATTGGTCATTAGCTGTCAAAGTTTCCACCATTATTTATTGATTTATTTGAAAGTTTCTTGTTCAAATTGCTTGCAATTCAAGATGTATTCTACATGGCGTATTGCTCAGTTGAAGGAGGAGTGGCAGAGGAGAGGTGCAACCCTAGTAGGGAAGAAAGCTGATCTAGTGGAAAGGTTCATAATTTTGCATATTTGAACAACTCTCTCATTATAAAGACAGTTTTTTTGTATCTAATTTGCTCCCAAGAAATATATTAATGAAAAAAAAACACATATTTTGTGTTTTTTCACTAATAATCAATGAACATTATTCTAACCTCAAAAACATGCAAGTTTTAAGGTTCAATTTTGTTTTCAGATCAGAGGCTTATGATAGACATTTTAATTTCGAGAATATCCCTCAAGAGAGACCTGTATAATAAAGAACAGATTTTTTGTTCATTAGAAATTCATCATTGGAAAATAATCTGAATGAAGTTGGTGTTTGTGTGGACTGGCTGATTAGGTGGCTTTCCTTATCAGGATTACCTTCCTCGGGGTGGAAAGTAACTTCTTAGGCAATTTCTTGTTGGAGGTCTATATAATTTATATCTGAAAATCAAATGAAATACAGTGGTGGTGGAGCAGTCAATATAATAAATTTATTTATTGGATACTTACCATTGAGAGGAAGCTGGTATCTTTATCTTCGAAAATTTCAGATGATTCACTACTAGCTGGCTTCAAATCACGTTAAGCTTGGTATCTTTATCTTCGAAAATTTCAGATGATTCACTACTAGCTGGCTTCAAATCACGTTTAGCATTCCTTTTTTCTAATCTTAACATCCGTGGACTGATAGAATTCGAAGTACAGCGAAATATGGAAGGTACAGCTGATTTTTCAAAAAATTTTCTTTGGAGTGAAAACCCTATAAAATTTTATAAAATTAATATCACATATAAGTAAGTAGAATGAATGCTACTTACCAATTGTCTTTGAAGTAGTCTCAAAATCAGAATCTTTGAAATGTTCACCACAAAACCTAGAATGATCAGTACATTTGAACTTTACTAGGCTCAAAGATTTTCCCATTTTCTTCTCATAACAGTACCTTCAGGAAACTTATAAACTCTCATTTCTTTGCACCCGAAAGAAGCACAACGACCCATTTCTCTGAATGAAAACAAAAAATCACAAATGTTCCCATATAACCAATGTATCTTTTGATGACAAACACTTAGCGCCCTCTATGTACAACGAATTGACAGTTTGCTTCCCCATTGTTCAAAACATACTTAAAAATAAGATTTTAAAATTCCGAATGATTGCGATGCCTGAAAAAAAAATTTATTCCAGGTCAAAAGTCAAAAATCTCGAAAAAAAATGGTTTTTCGCGATTTTCAGGAAAACGGTGAGTTTTATCATAAAATGACTTCCTATAAAAATTGTAGATCATAAAGTTTTCTACAAATACTTTTTTTTCTTAGAGCCACCGTTTCTGAGATACGACATTGGTATGCGTAAAACACAGAAGTCTGTCATTTACGATTGTTTCCTACAGGTCAATATTGAAATTAAAAATACTAATACGACATACTCATTGACGGTGGATACTTACTATATCGTGTTGTGGGGGAGAGTGAAGAAACATTTAGCATTATTTCAAATAAATACGTTCAGTATGTACGTAGACATTTTGGTGCCAGAATTACGGTCGTATTTGATGGCTATGATGATTGCACGAGAAGTATTGAAGCTGCAGAACAACGTCGTCGAACTTTAGCATATTCTATTTGATGAACTTATGACAGTTCCTACCAGTCAACAGAAATTTCTTGCAAATACTCACAACAAATCTTGGTTCATTTCAATGTTGAAGGATAAGTTTATTGGCGAAAATATATTGGTTAAACAAGCTAATAACGATGCCGATGTACTGATTATATTAAAACAGCTATAGAGCAATTTAATTTGACAAATACAACTATTGTTATTGGTGAAGATGTAGACATACTCGTACTTCTTACTGCTCGAACTCCACCTGAAAAAACTATTTTCTTTCTGAAGCCAGGAAAGGCTCAAAGTCAAACCGAAATATATTCGTCAAAAAGTGTATCTACTTTTGCAAAGAGTCAAAATCATGTACTATGTTTACGAGGTGTTACACCTTGAGAGGTGTTAAACCTCTCGAAGCGAAGCGGTGCCAATTTCCTATTTATAGTAGTTTTATAAACACTTCGAAAACATTTCTGGGAGAAATGCAGTTTTATAATTTGTTTCTCCGAAACGTTTCCGCAACTATTATAAAATACGAAATAGCTAGTTGGGAACAGACATGTGGAATAGGCCTACTGGGGAAACCACGATAAAAAAAACGCGGCTAAGTAGACTACCTCATAGATGGCGTGGAAACGTGTGCATATAATGACGATTACAACTTTTACAACTTTTTGACTCGTCATATCTCAGAAACGGTGGCTCTAAGAAAAAAAGTATCGATACATTTTTGTAGACAATTTCAATCTACAAATTTATCTGAAAATCGCGAAAAACCAATTTTTTCGAGATTTTTGACATTAGACTTCGAATAAATTTTCTTCCAGGCATCGGAATCATTCGGAATTTCAAAATCTTATTTTTAACTATGTTTTGAACAGTTACACGCGTTTGCAACTTGTTGTGAATTTATGTACCTTCTAATGTCTAGATTGACCGGATTAAAGTGGAAGATGATCATTGGTTGATGTTAACGGTGCACCCTTTGAATGCATCAGAACTTCAGGTAAAGAAGGAAGGCGTAAAACTGTATTTATTTTAAAAATAATGACATTTTTTTCTCTTTACTATTCAGATTCACAGGTATCTTTGTTGAACAGAACCTAATTGAATTTCCAGTATTTTTTTGTCGAATCGCGGAAGAACATTATCACCAGTCTTCACATGAGGATAATGAAATTTCAAAGAATCAACATACTTGCTGCGAGATTCCCCCTTTAAAAAGTGAGTGAAAGAATTCACGGCATTTCATAATTAATTAACAGGTTTGAAATTTCCGAGAAACACACAATAAAAACAATTCCTATTCCACAATCACGTTTATGTGAGGCCAGTTCGTGTAACAGGGGGTCCGGCCGCGCCACAGGGGTCCAATTACGCGCCCATTCTATACCGCAGGGAAGAAGAACCCCCGTAGCCAGCTGGCCCTCAATCTGCGTGCTCAATAACCTATTATTTTCAACTTAACACTTGGCTGTATTGCTTCGCGTTTTCTAATATGAATTAATTATGTTATATTATGATTTATGGGCCTTCCGCAAGCGGCGATTTTATTGATTATAATTTATTGACGTGTATCATTTGTCTACATAATTAGCGTTGGTTGTATCACCTCAAGGCATTTATGATTTTCTCCGTAGATGATACGAGGCAGAGAGGTAGCGCATGTGATGTAATTGGTCGGCAATTTGATGAAAATTCATGACGTAATCAAGTAACATTTTATATTTGAATTTTCACTAAACAGTTCACAAAACCGCGGCAAGTGTTTCGACATACAATAGCTCCCCCAGACGTGTTCAAACGTCTGGGATGAATTTGCTCAAATTATATGATTTTTCTATTGAAAAAATCAGCGATGTCTTGGTGGATTCACCAATGATGTTCCTATGACATTTATTATCGTTTCATAAAGTGTTCAGACCAGGAAAGAATGGCGTCAATTATATCCACCTTGTAGTCTGTTTTACTGATACAAGTAAAAAGTTGGACAAGTTTGTCTAATTTGCCACTTCCATATTCATCAATTGAATTCATGAGTGAAACGGAGGTAAATAATTCAATAAATTCTCTACACTTGACTATTACTAAATTAAGTAATTAACGTGATTTTACAATTTTCCACAAACCATCTTATACGGACATAGGACCAAGAGACAGGACCATCGGCAGCGTTCGACCGAACGTTCGTACAAGTTAACTAAGCTCTTTTTTCGCCAGAGAGTGCTCGCGTCGCACACCTGCCCCCGCCAGCCATGCCAAATCAATTGGGAATATGGTCCCGGAAGTGGCCGGTTGACCGATAACTTCACTGGGTGAGTGCCGTGTGGTCTGCACCGGGGGACTGTCAAACACCCATAAGAGAGAGACAGTGATCCCCCGCCACTCACCTTGTATAAACTTTGGAAGAGGAAGGTTTGAAACTCAATATTTTGAAATGTTCGAAAATCAATATATTCAGGAATTTGAAAAATTCACTGTATGAATAAATAGAATTGAAATATTTCTAATGCCAAAATTGGGAATCAGTTCACTACATGTCCATTTGATAAGTTAGTAAAATTGTTTTCAAAATGTTTAGTTTGTACCCAAACTTTGGTAGTTGAGTGGATAGAGAATTGAAATACCTTTCATATGGCTCGTATGTCCATTCTTTAAAAAAAATTGTTCGACTGTGACATTTTGTCGCGTTTGAATGTTGAGAGGGGGGGACTGCAGAAAATTGGGTTGCTTTAGATGAAATAACAGATTCCAATGAGTACACTGAAACATTTCTGAATATTTTTCAATATTACCACGAAATGAGCTTTCCGTTAATCAAGGTGAAGGGTGATAATTACCGGAGAAATAAAGAAGCTATAGTCGATGTTAGCATTATAAAAGCCNCTATTTTTTTACTCCAAAAAAGAGCAATTAGAGCAATTGTAGGTTTAAACAGATTGGAAAGTTGTAAGCCGTGGTTTGTACAGCTAGGTATTTTGACGTTACCTTCATCAGTCATATATACTAACTTGGTATTCATAAAAAAAAATATCAGCAACTATCAGACACTTAGTGATAATCATAATTATAATACAAGAAATAGAGACAACCTGCTGATTCCACAACATAAATTAGCAAGTACTAGTCGCAATTATCTAGGAATGAGACTGTTCAATAAATTAACTATTGAAATGAAAGATACACACCTGGAAATATTCAAAAAGAAACTGAAGAGTATTCTGTTGAGGAAAGCCTACTACGAAGTAAATGATTTCGAATTGTCCTAAGTTAATTTGAATTACAATTCCTGTTATTTTTTCATTCTTTTGGTTAAATTTGTTTCAAATTATTACATAATACTCCTAACTCTTATTTATAAATATGGAATTGCATTGGAAATAATGAGGAATAATTAAATTAGATGCTCAAAATGAGAACTTTGACTTGTAATACAAACATCGAGTTGTCTCTTCATCGAGTGCCATACACGAACAAAAATTCCTGGGGTGTTGCGTATGACATTGAAATTATGCATCCTATTAATTCTCAAGTCATTTTCATCGACAACTGGTGTCGCGATTTGAAAAATCTCCATTAGAAATAATCCACAGGGTTGAAGTATGGAGATCTTGGTGGTCATGGTTAAGGTTACCTATGACCTATCCACTGATGAGCAAAAGTATCAGTGGGACATTCACGGGCTTTCACAGTGAAATGAGCAGGTGCTCTTTGTGTATTAACCACATATGACGTCTTACTAGCAAAGGGACATCCTCTAACAATTCTGGCAATGTGTTTTCTAGAGATTGTCTACGTTACACTATTGAGTCAGAGATGACGGAAATTATAATAATCTTCATTCAATTCAATTCCATAATACACAGAAGTGTCTCTCAATAAAATAAAGTGAATAAAGCCGATAAGCGATAAGTGCTATTACACTTGTTTTGTCAAACAATTCCTAAAAATACAGATAAAAATAATATACATAAA